TTATTAGATTGTTCATTTACACTATTTACTTTTAGATTACGTACTGGAACAGTCGGCAAAACATCGACTAATCGATTCGAACTTTATAAAATGGTAAATAATAAGGATTTACACATATTTTAATAATTTAGTAAATGTTTATAAATTTATGAATAAAAAATATTTTCGGATTTATTTCTTTATAAATTGGTAAATGATAAATATTTCTTTGCATTATTTCTAATTGTATTAGTCTTTAGAACATTGTAAATATAAAATTATTCTTGTAAATAAACAATCTAATATATAGTGTTTAATACTTTTGTTGCAAATACTTAAGAATAAAAAAATGTATAAATTCACTTTCATCATGTGTTTAGGTTTTATTCCAATTCTAATCATCGCTTTTTAAATCAATAAACGTTGCCTTGGAGTGAAGGTAGTTATAATAATAGCGGAGTCATGGGAAAAACCGTCGTTTTGACTAGTTTTTTTTTTTTTTTTTTTTTCTTGGTTTAAGATAATCAATAAATTTTTATCTAATGTTCATAATTTTATCTAATATCTATAAAGGAAGATATTTGTACAAGAATTAATGTGTTTACAAGTTTGGTATGGCGTATGTGCGTGTAGAAAAATTGACGCATAGAATCAAAATGATTGGCGTCCCCGGTACTGTGCAGTAATAGTTTTCTATTAGGATAGCTAACTAACTGTTTACACCCACTGCAAGCGCCAGTTCTTTATTTAGTTATTTAAAACATAATCTCGTCTGGTATAAGGACATCATGACGTGGGGGCTGTGAAGATTGAATACATTATATAAGTGAATTGATTATTGGGATGAATTTCCTAACAATGACGACACGGCGATGTACCCGGGTTATTTACGGAATGAACAAAATCGCATTATCTAGTCACACACGCAGTAACTGAATGAAGCAGTCGGGAACGAATTATCTGCCCTTATTTATAATTACGCACACACAGTTGAAGCATTTTTATCAACGTACATTTTAAATATTATCCATATGCTGATCGCTATCTACTTATTGTTTGTTTTCCTTATTTATTTCGACGTTTTTTATTCGTTCCTTTGTGTATTCCATAATTCTTATTATATTTAGATTTCTGTCGAATTTTCTTCTTTCTACTTAGATTTAATGTTGTCTTTTTTTTATTCTTTAATTTCATATTTTTAAATTCTCCAAGTTTCATTTATTTTCTTCATTTGTTTTTCTTATTTAATAATTTTTTTTTATTTTCCTTTTTCTTTATTTTAATTTACATTTTCAACAATATTTCCTCCTTTTTTTTGTTTTCTTTTTTATTCAATGATTTTTTCTTTTTTTTCTTTTCTCCAGTTCTTCATTTCTTTTTTATTTCTTTTTTTCGTTCATATTTTTTATCATTTCTTTTTTTTTTCCCATTTTCGCGTTTTATATTTTTCATTTTCTTCCTTTATTTTTCTTCTTTCAATATTCATATTTTCTTTCTTTTATTTCTTTCTACATTTTTTTTATCTTCTCCAATTCTTCAATCTTCTTTGTTTTCATTATTTCTTTTTTCCGTTTCTGTCTTCATTTATTCTCTTTCCTTTATTTTTTTTTTCATTCTTTTTCTTGTGATTTTTTTTCTATTCTTTCTGTTTTGCTTCTTTTTTTTTTACCTTTATTTTACCTTTTCACCAGTGGTTCCATCTTGTTTTTCATTCATTCATTCATTTTTCCTTTTTCATTTCCTTTTTTTCTCTTATTCTTCATTTCTTAACTCATTTCATTGTCTCTTTCTTCTTTTTTTCCTGCGTCCTTATTTTCCTTTTTTTTCTTCTTTCTCTTTTTCGTTCTTAAATTTTATCATGTCTTTTGTCCGTTTTTAGTTTATATTCTTTTTATTTTCATCGGTTTTTTCTTCTTTGTATTTTCATCCTTTCCTTTTTTTATCTTTACTTCTTTTAATTTTTCTTTCTTTTCTGTTTCATTTTTCGACATTTTGGCTTTTATTTTACCCTTTCACTAATGTTTCTTTCTTTTTTTATTCATTCATTTTGCCTTTTTGATTTTTCCTTTTTTTTTCTAATGTTATCTTTTTATCAGTTTTTCATTCTTTTTTGTTTTGTTTTTTTTTCATTTATTTTTTCCCTTTTCTTTATTTTAATTTACTTTTTCACCAGTTTTTCTTCCTTTTTGTTTTGTTTATTATTCAATAATTTTTCTTTTTTTCTTTCATCCAGTTTCTTTCTTCTTTCTTTTTTTCGTTCATATTTTTATCATATCTTTTTTCCGTTTTCACGTTTATATTTTTTATTTTCTTCCTTTTTTTTTTCTTCTTTCAATATTCATATTTTCTTTCTTTTATTTCTTTCTACATTTTTTTTATCTTCTCCAATTCTTCAATCTTTGTTTTCATTTATTCTTTTTTCCTCATTTTTTTTTTCATTCTTTTTCTTGTGATTTTTTCTATTCTTTGTTTTTATTTTATCTTTTCACAAGTTGTTACATCTTTTTATCATTCATTCATTTTTCCTTTTTCTTTTTTGTTCTTTTCTTCTGTTCTTCATTCCTTCCACTTTTCATTCTCTCCTTTTTCTTCTTTTCTACATCCTTATTCTCTCTCTTTCTATTTCTTTCTTCTTTCTCTTTTTCTATTTCATGTTTTTTTCCTTCTACTTGACTATATTTTCTTCTGTTTTCTTCTTTCTATATTAAACCTTTTCTTTCTTCTATTTTATTCTATATTTTCTTTTATATCTTCAGTTCTTCAATCTTGTTCGTTTTCATTCTTTCCTTTTTCCGTTTCTATCTTCATTTATCCCTTTTCAAACAAGTTTTTCATTCCTTTTTCTTTTCATTCTTTAATTTTTTTCTGTTTTGCTTTCGATTTTTTTCATTTAGCCTTTCACTAGTGTTTCCTTCTTTTTTTTTATTCATTCATTTTCCCTTTTTTGATTTTTCTTTTTTTATTTTATCTTTTTTTTACCAGTTTTTCATTCTTTTTTGTGGTTATTTTGTTGATTCATTTTTCGTTTTTGCTTTTTCTTTTTTCTTTTCTCCTTTACATCATTCCTTCATATTTTCATTCTTTCCTTCTTCTATTTTTCTTTCATTCTTATTTTCCCTTTTTCTATTTCTTTCTTCTTTCTCTTTTACGTTCATACATTTTATCATGTCTTTTTTTTTCCGTTTTCGCGTTTATATTTTTTATTTTATTCAGTTTTTTCTTCTTTATAGTTTTCATCCCCTCCTTCTTCTATCTCTTTCTTTTTTCTCTTCTTCTTTTTTATTAAGTTTTTCTTTTTTTTTCTTTTCATTCATTTCCATCCGTTTTCTTTCGCTTTCTGATTTTTCTTGTTTTTCCTTCACTCTTTCACCAGTTTTCTTTATTTTTTTTGTTTTCATTTCCGTCTTTCCTTCCTTTCTTCCTTCATTTATTTCCAGATTTTTTAACTCCTTCTTTTCTCCATTTCTTCGTGCATTCTCTTTTTTTCATTCTTACTTTCCTTCCTATCTTTTTTTTCCTTTTCGTCTTTCTATATTTCTACAGTTCTTCATTCTCCTACGCTTTCATTTTTCCTTCTTCCAGTCTTTCTACATTTTTAATTTTTTTCTTGTATTTTTGTTACTTCTTTTCTCTGTTTCTTTCCTCCAATATATTTTTGTTTTCCGTGTTTTTATCTTTCAGTTTTTCCTTCATTCTCGTTTTCATTCTTTCGTTCAGCCATTTCCTTCTATATTTTTTTTTCTCTCGTTCGGTTTCTGGTTCTTTCTTTTTATTATTCTTATTTTATTTCATACCTTTTCCCTTTTTCACGTGTGGGTTTTTCTTCACTATTAGGTTGGTGCAAAAATAATGACGTAATAATGTCGTTTTTGACCTTAAAAATACGTCAAAAACGACATTATTACGTCATTATTTTTGCACCAACCTAATATATTTCTTCATTCTTCATCGCTTTCATTCTTCAACTTCTTTCTATATTTAATTTTTTCTTTCCACCTTTATTTTCTTTTTCCTATATTTAATTCTTACATTTTTTTTCTTTTTTTCTCAATTTCTTATTTGTATTTTTCTTTATCCACCTCTTCATTCTGTAAAAGTTTCATATTTTCTTTTCTCTGTTTCTACGTTTTAAAATATTTTTTTCTTTTCTCCGGATTTCACTTCTTCCTATTTCTATTTTGTACTTTATTTGCTTTCTATTCCCCCGCCTTTTCGAGTTTTCATTCCCTAGCTTTTCCATTTCTTTTCCCCTTTTCTCTCTATCCTCCATTTCTATTTCTCTCCCTTTTTTTTTCACTATTTTTCTTCTTTCATTTTAGGATTTTTTTCCTCTTCTCCAGTTTTTCCTTCTTCAGTTTCATTCTTTTTTTTTTCATTTCTCTCTTACTGCATTTTTTAAATTCGTTTTTCGTTTTTGAATTTCTTCATCTGCATTTTCTATTTTTCGTTTTTTTTATTATTTTCTCCTGCCTTTCTTTCTATTTTGTTTTCATTTTTCCTATCTTCATTTCTTTCTATGATTTTTAATTTTTCTTTTCTCCATTTTTCTTTCTACCTTTCTTTCTTTCTCACTTTCTTTCTTTCTCACTTTCTTTCTTTCTGGCATTTCGTTTCCTTATTTGTTTTAACTTTTACTTTTCTTCAATTTTTTCTGTCGTTCTTAATTTCTTTCTTTCCTTCTTTTTTCTTTCTTTCTTTCTTTCTTAAACTTCTTTATATTATATTTATGTTTTAATTTCTGCTTTTCTCCAGTTCCTCCTTCTATGCCATTTTCATTCTTTCTTTCATCCATATTATTCTTTCTTTCTTCTTTCTTTCTTTCTTTCTTTTTATTTCCTTCTTTCATGCTTTTTCATTTCCTTCTTTCTTCTATTTATTTCTTTATTTTCATTTTTTCCTCTCTTTGTTTTATCCGATGCTTTTTGCAGATTTATTTTTCTTTTCTTTTCTTTTTTTTATTTTTTCTTCGGTTTTTCTGATTTTCCTTTCCTCCTTTTTTTGACATTTTTAGACAAAAAATTCTACATACACGTAGATAGATAGATAGATAGATAGATAGATAGATAGATAGATAGATAGATAGATAGATAATGAAAGGACTGAGATGGACAGCTAGATATGAAGAGGATAAGACTCATAGTTATTAAAACAGATAGATAGATAGATAGATAGATAGATAGATAGATAGATAGATAGATAGATAGATAGAAAAACAAGAAAGAAAGAAAGAAGTTGAAATAGATAGATAGATAGATAGATAGATAGATAGATAGATAGATAGATAGATAGATAGATTTAAACAGACTGAGATAGATAGATAGATAGATAGATAGATAGATAGATAGATAGATAGATAGATAGATAGATAATGAAAAGAAAGAAAGAAAGAAAGAAAGAAAGAAAGAAAGAAAAATGTGCTTCTGAAAGTTGAACTTCCTGGAGATGATTATCCTTCCCAATAAAATTGATGCCCTCGTGTTGGTATTACACTGGCGTCAGGCTTGCTTTCTGGCCGACTGCGCCTCTTCCTCAGCATGTATTGGCCCTTTTGTGTTGTTGTGGTTGTGACACCTGCTCTTAAATCCTTACACCCACGCAAAATTATGCTTCTGAAAGCGGAAATCCCTGGAGATTATGATCCTTCCTAATAGAATCGATGCCCTCATTTTGGTAAAACACTAGCGACAGGCTTGCTTTCTGGCCGCTTGTGCCTCTCCCTCAGCACGTAGTGGTCCTTCCGTATTTTTGTGGTAGAGGCCCCTGCTCTTAAATCCTTACACCCACGCAAAATTATGCTTCTTGAAAGCAAAAATCCCTGGAGATGATGATCCTTCTTAATAGAATTGTTGCCCTCATTTTGGTAATACACTGGCGACAGGCTTGCTTTCTGGCCGCTTGTGCCTCTCCCACAGCACGTAATGGCCCTTCTGTGTTTTTGTGGTAGGGGCCCCTGCTCTTAAATCATTTTATGTCACCGAACGCGAATAATTTACCCAAAATTTATTTCGGCGTTAATATTCCAAAAAGACAGGAGAGTGCTTAAATACCGACCGATGTTAACTTTATGTCAAACCTATTTTTCTAGGCAATTACTGATATTATGCGTGCGACAGAAAGAAACACGATAAAGAAATTAAAGAGAGCGACAAGACGACCAATTAAATTTAATAAAATAACAAAATTATTTAAACAAAATAAATTTTATTTTAATTTAGTGTTTTGGCCAGTGGGCGAAAAGGAAATAAAAAAAAGTTCACCGACAAGAAGTTAGAATTAATTCAAAGTAACTTTAGTTAGGGATTACTGTTTTTCGTACTATAGTTATACAGCCCATGAAACAAACAGCTCAGAATCAGATTTCTACAACAACTGACTTTGCCAGCCAACTCGCTTAATTTTTACATCAGCCGACGAAAGCTGATATTGTTAAAGCAAAAGTATCCCTATTTTAACTGTTCGTTGTTTTAGAAGTTTTCGTCGTTGTCACTGCACTCTCCACATGATCAATTTAAAAACAGGATCCTTTTGTTCTACCAACAATTATTCGGCTGATAAAAAAAACTTTTAAACCACAAAGACAAACAATTATATTCCTTCAATTGGGAAATATCCCTTAGAAGCTGAGAGCATACCTCATGTTATGGATAGTCTATCAATAATTTGATCAAATGAGCAACATTGATTATACAAAATAAAATTGAAAATTTGTTGTAATTTCATAAACCTCATTTCATACCCATTGATTTCAAAGTTGTTGTTTTCACAATTGTTTACTTTACATTAGAATGGTTCTAAAACTTGCATTCATTTATTTTCACAGTGCGCGTGTGTGAGTGTGTGTATTGTGTATATGTGTATGTGTATACTCAACTCGTCTGATAAAAAAAGTTTGAAACTACAAAGACATTGCATGGTATTCAAGTGGGAGACACTTCTTAAAAGCTGAGTGCACACCCCAAGTTATGGATATTCTGTCAATAATTTCATCAAACATGCAACCTTGGTTATACAACAAAATGGAGTATCTGTCTATATTTCTGAGATGAGGTATTATGTACATTATTTACATTATTACGACTATTGTCCTCATCTTTGTCGCCATATTTATTACAAGGTTCCGGCCTTTCAGTATCTGTCTATATTTCTGAGATGAGGTATTATGTACATTATTTACATTATTTGGACTATTGTCCTCATCTTTGTCGCCATATTTATTACATCCTTCAGTATCTGTCTATATTTCTGAGATATCCTTCAGTATCTGTCTATATTTCTGAAATATCCTTCAGTATCTGTCTATATTTCCGAAATATTTTTCAGTATCTGTCTATATTTCTGAGATGAGGTATTATGTACATTATTTACATTATTTGGACTATTGTCCTCATCTTTGTCGCCATATTTATTACATCCTTCAGTATCTGTCTATATTTCTGAAATATCCTTCAGTATCTTTCTATAGAAATATCCTTCAGTATCTTTCTATATTTCTGAGATATTTGTACATTATTTAATTCAGACTAGTGTCCTCATCTTTGTCGCCATATTTATTACATCCTTCAGTATCTGTCTATATTTCTGAGATATCCTTCAGTATCTGTCTATATTTCTGAATATCCTTCAGTATCTGTCTATATTTCCGAAATATTTTTCAGTATCTGTCTATATTTCTGAGATGAGGTATTATGTACATTATTTACATTATTTGGACTATTGTCCTCATCTTTGTCGCCATATTTATTACATCCTTCAGTATCTGTCTATATTTCTGAAATATCCTTCAGTATCTTTCTATATTTCCGAAATATCCTTCAGTATCTTTCTATATTTCTGAGATGAGGTATTATGTACATTATTTACATTATTCAGACTAGTGTCCTCATCTTTGTCGCCATATTTATTACATCCTTCAGTATCTGTCTATATTTCTGAGATATCCTTCAGTATCTGTCTATATTTCTGAGATAATAAATATGACAACAAAGATGAGGACAATAGTCCAAATAATATAAATAATGAACAAAATGGAGGAACACTCAAAAATTTGTTGTAATTTCATAAACCCCATTTCATACCTATTTGTTTCAAAATATATTCTCTCATTTTCACAATCATTTACGTTGCATTGTAATGGTTTTAAAACTTGCATTCATTTATTTTCACTGTGTGTCTATACATTGTGTATATATGTATGTGTATATTCAACTCTCCCGTCGAATTCAACGTATGAGGGTCAAGCATACCTGTTCCTAGGAAACCAGCAGCCCGACACCAGCACATGAGATCTGATTATAGTGAAGAACCATCCACACTTTTTGAAGGGCTGAATACATAGACCTGGTGCACTACGTACCACAAGTTCCTCGAAGGACCCTCAGTTGTCCTTCTCCTAGACCAGTTGCCATCCAAGGTTATAGAACCCAGTCTGGCCTGTCATTTATCCATAGCTGGAGGGGGAATAAAGGAATTAATACCTTTCTCCCAAGGCTATTAACACGTAAGTGAATGTAATGGATTTGACCGGAATTCGAACTCAGCTCTCCAATTCCTCGATCAAAGCCGCTATCCATTACGCCACCATGCTTCCATATATCATGATTAAACGTGCAACTTTGGTTATATAACAAAAATAGAGGAATAATTGAAAATTTGTTGTAATTTCATAAACCCTATTTCATAACCATTTCTTTCAAAATCTATATTGTTGTTTTCACAGTTGTTTACTTTGCATTATAATGGTTTTAAAACTTACATTAATTTATTTTCAATATATATATATATATATATATATATATATATTTGTAATTACTCAAACCCACCACGGTTTAATGTCGGGAGCCCGAGTGCGTACACCCTGGTTAGAAACAAAAATTTCCAAGTCGCCACAACCGTCGATTGGCTGGCCCCGGTGCATGCACCGATCCTTCCCTCTAGTACAATGAGAGGGCGCGGCCTCGCGTAGCTGTTCCCCAGTGCCAGCACCTCTCAGTATAATTTTCTACGGTTGTGGTTTTCTCCTTTGACGGAGTCATCCCTGAATGCACTCTGCCCAATGACACAACGGAGAGTTAATAAATAGGTGTTACAAACCACTCGAGAGTAATTTACACAAACACACACACACATACTATATATATATATATATATATATATATATATATATATATATGTGTGTGTGTGTGTGTGTGTGTGTGTGTGTGTGTGTGTGTGTGTCTATAATTATTTATTCGAAAATTAATACATAAATATGTTATAAAATAAATTAATCTACTCTCTATTGAGCACTCTTTTAAGAATAGCATTTGTTGGTCATTGGAATTTTATTCCGTATACACCAATCCTATACTTGTATATATATATATATATATATATATATATATATATATATATATATATATATATATATATAGTACATATATATATATATATATATATATATATATATATATATATATATATATATATATATAGTACATACATATATATATATATATAGTATATATATATATATATATAGTACATATATATATAGTACATATATATATAGTTTATATATATATATATATATATATATATATATAGTACATATATATATATATATATATATATATATATATATATATATATATATGTATATATATATATATATATATATATATATATATATATATATATATATATATATATATATATATATAGTACATATATATATTTTTTTTATAGCTATAAATATTCTTAATCTCCTCGTGACCTATATACACAACCCACTATATATACCATCCTCTCAAAGAGTAGGGGTACTCTCAGATGATCGCAACGTAATGTAAAAATGACTTACCATACTGTGATGATCTCCATGTACAAATTGCTTATATATATAAACACTTTATCTCCGATACTGAAAACATATATATAAATATATATATATAGAAATCGATTCTCCCGTCGGGTTCGACGTATGAGGGTCAAGCAAATCAGTTTCCAGGAAAATGACAGCCCGACAACGGCACATGACATTCGATGATAGCGGTGAAGGTTTCGTGCAGGACCATCCACACTTTTTGAAGGGCCGAATACAGAGACGTGGTGCACTACGTACCACAAGGTCCCCAAACAACCCTCCGCAGGTTTTGAATTCAGAGTTGTCCTTCTCCTAGACCAGTTGCACTCCAAGGGTATAGAACCCAGTCTGTCCTGCTATTTAACCCATAGCTGGAGGGAGAAGAAGAGGATTCACACCTTTCCCAAGGGTATTAGCACATAAGTGAATGTAATGGATTTAACCTGGATTCGAACTCGGCACTGCGATTCCACAATCCAAGCCGATATCTATTACCCCACCGTGCCTCTTGCATATGTATGTATGTATGTATGTATGTATGTATGTATGTATGTATGTATGTATGTATGTATGTATGTATGTATGTATGTATGTA